GTATGTAAACATATCATATATATATATATATATACGTATGTAAATATATCATATATATATATATATGTATATACGTGTACATACATATATATATATAAACACGTAAATTAGTAAATATATGTATACGTAAATATGTCTATATATATATATAAATACATGTGTGTGTGTGTGCGTATATAACTATATAATATAATGACGGTATGTATATGTATATGTGTACAGGACTATAAGTATATATATATACATACATATATATATATCAAATATATCACCGCAACAAAATTTAAAAATAATAAATACATAATGCAAAAACGATGTAGCTGCTAACTAGTCGATATTCAAAGAACGTACTGTGAAATGCTGGGCCTACTTGGCGCAAACGGCTTCTCACTTCCAGGGGCGGACGTAGGTAGGCTCACAGGTGTGGGTATCACAAATTGTGTGTCGCCATTGTTGAAACTAGCACGCACATTATCCGAATGTTCCACTTTGATTTGTGGCTTACTTTCGAAGTTCACTCGAATTCCGCTGGACGGCATTCCAGATTTTGGTTCAGATTTAACCGCAGATTTAGCCTGGTAGGGCTTACCTGCAGATAGCGACTCGCGTTTGCCTAGTGGTAGCAAGGGTGGCTGAGCGGCTTTCTGTTGTTGCGGTCGTTGTTGCGAGTGGTGCATCTGATGTGTGCTATGTAGTGGGTATACATCATGAGACACGTCTTCTTGCATCGGTTGCAAATGATCATCATGGTTGTCGTTGTTCGATCGATTGCTCTTGTTGTTCGCTCGATTGCTATTTTTGATCGCTCGATTGCTGTTGGTGTTCGTGGTGTGGAATTCATTAGGCAAGATCGGCGGTTGAGCGTGGTGTGCCATGAGTGACTGGCTCGAGGTCTGGCGTTGATAGACCTGCATAGGCGAAACGTCCCGCTTGGGTTTACTAAAGCTGGTGGGAAGGTCTTTACGCTGCGTTGGTGGGGTTAGCGCACGCGTATGTTGCGGTCCAATAGGAAGAAACGGCGAGGGTGGGTCTCGTCTACTACGCATGGGATCGTGTAGTGAAGAGCTTGAGTCAAACTTGGCCCAATGAGGCGGTGAGACTGTTTCAGTCCCGTGGTTCATTTGCATCGGGCTCGGCGATTGCGGACGTCGCTTCCCCTGAGGCAACAAAGCGGGTGGTTTATTATACCGGTTTCGTTGTAAAGAGTTGCTGGCGCTCACATTATTGTTGCTATCATTATTATTGTTATTATTAGTACTCTTGCTGCCGCCGTTGTGCCAGGAGCTCGGCAGCCTGTGGTTGGGTGGGTGCGAGAATCCGTCTGCCGGAAGTCCATTATTCATCCATTTGAATTCCCCGTTGGTATTTTGGTGTGAGTTCTGCGGTGAGGGCTTCGGTAGATTTGATGTAGAGGTCTGAGAAGGGTACGAACTGTGCAGTACAGGGGAAGCATGTTTTTGTGTCTGACTTGGCGCTGCGTACGATGATCGCAGAGGTGCCTGCGTGCTTTTTGCTGAACTGATGCGTGGGCTGGAGTACGGTTCATACCGTGACGAGGTATTTAAGTTGGTGTGTGAATCTGATCTTGAATCCAATCTATTCAGACGCTCGTTGGAGAGGCCGCCTGCTCTGTTTTTGTTGTTGTTGGTGCGTGTATCGCCGATGTTGTTGTTGTTATGGCTGTTGTTGGTACCACTGCTATTGGTATCACCACTGTAATAAACCACTTGCGGTGACATGATGTTAGATCCTCGGTATTTCGGAGTAGGGAGAGGTGGTGCCTCCGTATTATACGACCGTGACATTCCACTGTGACCGTTCATTCCCGACTGATAAACGCCTACGTTTGGTTCAGAGCCCCTGCGTTGGTGCCCAGAACTATACGCATACTTCCCACCATGGCCTTGTAAGTCCTGGCCAGCCGATGAGCTACCCATATACTTATTCGTACTCCCAGATCCCATATCAGGTTTATCATCGCGTCCACCAGCCACTGATTCCTCCATGCGATCACGAGGTACACCCGGTACGTCCCTGCCGGATACAAAACTCTGGCGTGGCGCTTGTTCGTACCGTTCGGTTTGCCTGTCACGTGCAGGTCCAGGCATTGGGAACTGGGACACTCGGGAGTCCACTTGTCGGCTATGAGTCTGACCCATCTCCGGAAAATCCGCCCGTCCTCTGGGCATAGAAACACCGCCAGAGGCGGGGTATCTGTCTCTAACTACACTCGAAGTTTCATACGAAGTCCCTCGCATACCGGTATTGTCGCGACCACTGTAGACAGCTTCATTTGAACTGTATCGCGCGCGGGTCGGGTGTGGCGGTGGTTGTACAAACCGGTCCCTTGGTGGCGGTTGATTTACGCGTCCATCGCTGGATTGGACTCCGCGATCCCCATTGTATCTATCGCCTCCAACTCGGCTACTGGATTGTCCCATGGCCTCACCATTGTAGTCGCGTTGAAGCGGACTGTGTCGGCCGTAGGGAACATTACTACTATTATGACCATCCATTGGCAGGCTGCTGTTCACGTTGCGATTGACGTAAACTCGCTCGGGTTGCCAATCGCGTTCCTGAGTCGGCGGTGCGTAGCTGTAGCCCCGCTGCGGTGGTTCATACATGTTACTCGTACTGTTGTTTGTGACTCTTTCTTTGCTTTCCACGCCTCCCACAATATCCGCGACTCGAAAGGCAGTTTTCGGCTGCGGCCGGCCCTCATTGATACCTTCATTGCGCGACTGTGTGTAGTTACCGGACGAAGTGCTCATTGGGTGCGCACTCCTCGGCCCTTCACTGCGACCTAGAACCATGGGCAAAGGCGGTGGTGGTGGCGGGCCATCCGTACCTAAACTCCGTTGTTTAGGTGAGGACGACCACCGCATCCCCGCAGTTGAGAATGGGTGGTCTCTGTATTCTCTGTCGTTGTGCATATCGTAGATGTTGATATGTGCAGCAAGGTTTGAGGAATACACTAGTCAACAAACCGGATTTTTACGTGAATTAGAAAACTATTGAGAAAAACATGAGGTGTGCAAAGCGGCAACAACTCAAATAAGCGACATAACAGAACGGAAGTGTTGCCATGACCAGCAGTGTTATTGCATTAACTGTGCGTACGGATCCAGGTCCCGACCTTACCACGCCGTACAATACCGACTGATCTATGTTCACCGCCTCTACTAGGCGATAAGCTGAAGATACAAACGGCAGGTCGTGATCCCGAAACAAGATAATCAGCACATTCGTGATTCACTGATTTATCTCTGCGTTGGTATTTATCATTTATATAAATAAAGTATATTTATTATTTTCCGTGCCGAATGTGTATGTATTTATAGAGTATGCGACAATACTTCGTTTCATATGTATGTACACACATATGAACACCGGCATTTTTAGGTTAAAAAAAAATCAAATAAACCGTTACCGCATTTTTCGGCATTGCCATTTGATGACTGATAAATAAAATGCCAGTTTCCACAAAAACAATGTGAAGACTGAAGACTGGGACTGTGACAGTCTGTAATTTTTGAACTGTACAACTCTGAGAAGTCGTTTTGTGTCGCCGATTATTTTTAGCAGCTGCGTTTACTCTGAGCACACGCGAGTCTTTTTATATTTTTTATTCTCTCTCTGCCCTCTGGCTGGTGTAGAGAGCGACTCATAAATAGCCTCCCTTCCCTTTTAAAAAAAAAACTAAAGACAGAGAACATAGACTGGACTTTCAGACTCTACTATTTCAGAATTTTTAGTGTGTAGGTTCTTTCCTGCTGATCTCTCAGTGATTTGGACACATTTCCTCACAATTGTAAATTGTTGTAAATATAAGTATTCATATCCCATATCTGATGATCTCAATTCTCAGCATGCTAGTTTGCTCCGCAAACCCTTCAGTAATCATCGTAGTATTTTATTTTAACAAAATCTATCACTTGTATGTGAATACGTATTGAAACAATCAGCACGGCTCGGCATGGTAGAAAGCGAATTTGGACGATATCATCCTTATGTAATCTAGAATAATACTTCTCTATGAATCATGAAACAAGATATACCTCGTGCAATGTACCATGATAGGGCATTGCGTATATTTCTTTTAACATGCCATAAATTATTAAACAGAATAGTCAACTATTCAATTTGGAGTTTAATATAGCATCTTTTTGATTTCAGCACATATTGTAGTTGCGTTACATATGTACATTACATACACCTACACAATAATAAATAAATAAAAAACATGCATTGGAACCGTACCATTTTCACATCAGCGCATCTTATATAAACAATCTGACACTTCTGCTTGAGCTAGGATGTCATTTGTAGCACCTTTCAAAAGTCAGCATCTTTTGGCTGTGACAAGAACCTCGATGTACTTGTTTTTTTTTTTATAGTTAATGACGACCAGTGTAGTAAACAAGTAGAATGACTGATGTACCAACTGATCTACTACACAACAACACAGCAGGTTATAAAAACAACTCCCCATGAGTGATGATCCCAGCGTGGAAGGCTTTAAATATTCCACCCATGAGCGGATCGAGTGGACTGAGATCAAAGTACCCACGACAGTTTTAAGTTTTGTAAAGAACAAGGTGAATTGAATTAAATAAACAAACCAACCTAGTGTTTGACTAGCCATTTGACTCGTATACTACAAACTTGATAAGATCGGAAGCCCGAATCTTTCCTGGGTACCTTTTGATAGAGAATCAATCAATTGATACTAGGTCAGCACTATTGCCCAGCGCGGAAGGTTCAGAGAAATTAATTTGGGAGCAGATCACGCGAACTGATATGGAATCGCGACACCTTCCAGTTTTATCACAAATTAAATGAGTGACTGAACCACAATCAACCTAGTACTGTTATGTTGGTTGGTTGTCATTCAACTTTGTATTTATTGAACCAACTAATCGGTGTAAACAGTTCAAGAAGACATCGTCGCCGCAATGGTACAAAATTATATTGTAGTAAGTTAGATCAAAATCTGAATGTATTAACCAATCAATCTAGTACTAGGTTGGTTGATCCAGTCATTCCACCTTTAATTTAGAACAAATCTATTAGGTGTCACGAGTACTTCGATCTCAGTCCTGTCTGAACTAAATTGGTTGGCTCACTCACTTACCTAATATATTACGAAAGAAATAGAAAAGGTCGCGAGTTCGAACTTGTCTTGGGAAGAATTTGTACCGGAAGCCAATCAGTACTAGGCAAGCACTATTACCCATCACTATTACACTATTACCCATAAAACCCTAAAACCCTAAAAAAAACGGTTCAGAGAAATCCGCTCAGAAGTGCTAATTCGAGCATGGAAGATCCAAAGAAATCCACTCAGAAGCGTATCGTGCGGACTCAAAAAGCCTTTAATTGAAAATCGCGTAAACGCCTGCATAAGTCACAAACTGAAGAAAAAAATAGCATGTTTCCATCGTCTGAAGTTAAAACTTATCCGCCTACAGCATTTATACCGAGCTTTAATGCTCATCCTTCATATGTGCTTAAGACACTGAAGCGTAAGAATCGTCCAGTCGACCCTAACGGACCTACTGGGCCTAAGCCCAAATCTCACAGGGTAGCCGAGAACGCTTAACTTCTCCGCCTGAGAAACATTAACTATACGTTATGCTACTTAATGTTTTCGACCGTTTTTCCTTTCTCGCTTTTTGACCCATAATCAGCTTGAATGAGTAACTTGCTTCTCCTGGGTCTCAAAGCTGGGTGGGGGCTGTGTAATAGTCGGGCCTCCACATTAGACTCTATGGTATGAACGTACTCTTAAGCAGTACGTAAACTATAAATGTACTCTTAATAGTACAAGGAACTCAAGTTTCCTAAAAGGTTTTTACCGGTTTTATTAATTAATACTTTTTCCATTTTACATATCAGATATTTGGACAAGGCCATTAAAAGGCCCCAGTAAAATACCAAACATAAGATTTGGTCTGGTTCTATCAATAGAACTATATTTACTTTCCAACTTTATTTAGATCTGAATACTTCGGTAGCGAGATGGTTCAACCGAATATAGGTTTCTAGGGACTATTAACGTTACCTAGTTGATCCTCCGATCAGCCAACCAGATGTGCTAGTCTGATGAAGGCTAAGTCGGTAATTTTTGATAAGTGGCAACTTATTGGTTAAGACAAAAACTAAGGACATCAAGAGCATTTTTCTTTTCTTTTCTAAAGATAGAATTTTATGAGTCTCTCGGATTCGCCCCAACGAAACATACCTTAGTTTCTAATAGAGCGACAACGAAACACTAAATAAAATCCCTTCGGCGAAAACAGTACTGAGAGGATTATATATAGGCAATGTCTCAGCCTCACAATCCCTCAGAGTATTGCTGTTTTCACGAGGCATACCTAACTTTACTAAATATCTCATTTCGTTTATTTACTTTTAAATTTTCACGATACTTAGAATTTACCTACGCGTTTATTTACTCTAAAGCGTTAATATTGCCTTGGTAGACCGAATCTTACACATTTTAAAGTTATCAAAGGTATTAAGTACTTAGACTACTTAAGCGTAAAGGTAGGTTAACTACCACAGAATCTTTCTTCTCCAAGCAAGTCCTTAAGAGATCAGCTAGCAGTCATAAGTTAAGATCATGACCAAGAAAGACAGTACTCCTTCTAAGTAGCGTAGAGCTGAAAAGAAGAAGATGGAGAAAGAAGCCGCTAGCGCCGTCGCAGCTACTGCCGTCGCAGCTACTGCCGCCGCAGAAGCAACCGCCGCCGCTGCCGACGCGTTTAACCGCACCGTAGCCGAAGCACTTGCCTCCGACAATAATAGTCAACAGGACAATGCTTCAGACAAGGTTGTAGCCACTCCGATTAAGGAGACTACTCCCACTGACAGAGCCCGAGGGCCAACTACTGCCTCAACTTCGAAGCCTGCATTTATGAAGCTAAGAAGTGAGACAAGGGGCACGTCTCAAGACGCCCCAACCAATTCATCTGACGAAACTCAGAAAGACAAGTTCCCAATTATAAGGAAGTCCCCGATTATAGCGGACAAAGACAAATCACAGAAGGAACCTATAACGGAACCAGAAGAGGAGGCAAGCTCAAGTGGAAAAACCGAATCTACATCCGAGACTACTAAGCCAACGCGCATAAGTAAGTTAATTACTGAAAATATGGATCTTAAGAACCAGTTAGCCACCCTTATGAAAGACTTGAATGTTGAACATGTAGATCGATTGTATAGATCAGGAAAACATACACAGTACTTACGCGAGCATGTTTCTCCGGGCATGACTGAAGCCCTACAAAAGTGGACAGAACGTCGACAGGCAATTACGCCCGAAGAGCGTAAAGGCTCGAGCGCTACACATGTGGCATATGAGCCAGATGTGCTCAGCGGATCTATACCTTACGAGGTACTACCACCAGAACTTCAGGCTAATTACTCGCCTGTTCTGATACCCGGCCGTGAGTCACCCGTCCTTGAGGGTACTATAGACCCAGAGGCAGGTAGAAATACTCCGCCACCTTTACCCAATTGGGTTGACAATCGTCGGAAACCAGCTAAGAGACTGGGTATGTTATCCAGACGCATGAATCACCCAAGATTATAATACCAATCACTATCCGAGGGACAGAGCATCGAAAGGCCTCGACCATGGACTTTACAAGTGGTACAAAACAACCCCGTAAACGTGTTAACGAAGTCGAATTTAATCGCTTCGATCGCACAGCATTGCACCAGCCCGCCGAGGATTTCTACTCTGACGAGGTGACCGAACTTAACAAATCGGTCGACGATTACACCATTGAAATGGAAATCGCCCACGATGCACACCATGCTGATGATGTATCATATTTTGCCAATACGATTGCGATTAAGCAAAAGCGCATCGATCAGCTACTTCAGGCCCAACGTGGACAAGACCACAGGGATAACCAGAAGTACAAAGGACAAATTAGTCGACTTAAGTCGAACTGGGATGCCAACAGTAAGAAGGTCGAGTTTATAAACAACCATGACCTCGACACGCTAACC